ATGGAAAGGCATTTTATATTTTGTTCCACCAGAAAACTGAGCATAGTCACTTTTTCCTTGAGAGTGTTGGTGGCACTCATCCTATATAATAAAAGGCAAATAGGCAAATTGTCTTCTCAACTGGGAGTTCAACCGGGAGTTTGACCAGGGGTGGGGCCAGCTGGCCAAACACCTGCAGCCCCTACCTCCGGCCAGTCCCATCCCCATTTAGCCCCACCCCCACCCCAATCAGAGGTGGGGCTGGCTGGACCCCACCCATGCACAAATTCGTGCACCGCACCTCTAGTATCATATAATTGATAGAATCACTCTCTACTTCCTTCTATTTATAACTCCTGGGAAAGAGATGATGGCAAAAAGTTGACCCTGTTAATGGTCTTCAAAATTCTCTGTTTTTCTTTATGCTGCTCAAACAATAAATGATCAAATTATTTGAATTCTTCTATAAAATAAAATTGGAAGAGTTTTTGCTTTCAATTAATATTTTAAATAGAAATGGGGATAAGGGGAGCACTGTAAGGGTGACTAAAGAAGAGAGAGTGAGAGACCTCAGCAACATGGCGTACGTGTGTGTGAGAGAGAGAGAGAGAGAGAGAGAGAGAGAGAAGTACAGGAATAAAGATAGCAGAAGAAAATCCTATTGTCAGGAATAGCCATAAAGCATTTAACAATATAAATGCCTTACAGTAAGTGTCATCATCTGGGCTATATTAGGTGATGAAATAATCCTTCACTCCATTATGCCAACATTTAGAAAACTTGTGTTGTGTGACTGGATGAGCAACAACATTCTGGGAGAGATAGCTTCTAAGTTTCGGTCATCAGAGCAGAACAGAGACCAGCACCAGTAGGCAAGTAATGAGTTAGGTTGAGAAAATAATGAGGGAAAGGTATTAGGACAATAGCTAAGGAATTGGTGAAAGGAGTAAGAAAAAAATCTCATGGACATGGACAACAAAATGGTGATAACCAGAGGGAAAGGGGGTGGGGGCAGGTAGAGGAGGGTAAACAGGATAAAATGATGATGGAACAAGACTAGATTTGGATTGTGAGTGCACAATGCAATGTGCAGATGATGTATTACGGACTGTACACTTGAAACCTATGTAACTTTATTAACCTATGTAACCACAATAAATTCAATAAAAAGAGCCAACAAAAATAAATGTAAATAGAGCTTGGAACTGTAAGAAGAGACACCTCCCCCCCCCCCAAATCGGGTAGTCTTTGCCCCCTAGGCCGGCTAGGTGGACTCCATTCTAATCTGGAATTTAACCTTGCGTGTCCAAGATGAGAAGAGAAATCTGAGAAGGTCTGGTGCTGCCATTCTGGCTCAGCTCTGGGACTATGATACCTGGGTCCTTGAGAAGTAGAGGACATCTAGCATCAGGGTTAGGAAGAGGAGTGAACATAGGAACTGTGAGGTGGGAACCTCCTCGTTATCCCTACACAGAATTTTCTCTGCCTTGTCTTCTGTTAGAAAGGAAGAGTCTCCCTGTCCATCCAAGAGGAATTCTTGCATATATGGTTTGCATTTCATCCTCCCACACCCATCATGTTGTGCCTCCATCAGTTATGCCTTCTGTACCCTGCATCTTAAATATTTTTCTCTCTACTACTTATTTGCCATCCAACTATCCTCAAACCTATTCCATCCCAAAGGTAATTCCTGCCTTGACCTCTCACACTTTTTGCTGCATTCTGGCCCCTCTTTTCTCTAAAATATCAAATGACCTCCTTTTATACATCTTCTCTGACATTCATTCATTATTTGTAGTTGTAGAAATTGTTCTGTGAATTTATCAATCACACTCCATGTTCAGATATTCTGCTGACACAAAACATGTGTACTGAAAAGCAATAATCCCCAGCCAATTCCCAAACCCAAGATCAATGTTATTTATGGTTCATGTGTTGCAATTGTTTCTGAAGTCACTTGTATTTCATATGTATGTCTCATTTTCCTCTCTCTTTTAATTTCTTGCCATGTTTATGGTGATGAAACAAGGTTGTTTGTCTCCCCAATGGATTTCGCTGATTATTTCCTCATGGTGTAACATGTTCCTTTATCCTTGTACTTCCTACAGGTTGGTAGTTACAAATTTAAATTTGATGAGAATTGCTAACAATTTTGTGTTTCAAGATGCCTTCAGATAGTCGGTTCAAAATATTTCTGCCAGAGGCACATAATCATTGACAATGTCTCTTCTTGTGCATTTAGCCACTGTAGATAACCATTTTAGATGTATTATATTTTAGGGGTTGCAAACTGTTTATATAATAACTCCATCATTCTTGTGTAATTTATTAGCCTGTATATACCTAAGAAGTAAAATATTGCATAAAGATGACTTGATTAGAAGTGAGAAAGAATGTGGAATGGGAATTTAAGGTCAGGCTATTGTTGAGTCTGCAAGTATAAGGTTTGAGGGACATACCGAAGATCAGGCATAGAGGTCCGGTGGAGTGAAGTAGCTGTGGTTCCATGTTGAGTCCTTTTTCTGGTGGAAGTGTGCTTGATGTTCAGTGGTCACTGTAATGCAGAGTGAAGATTCATCAGGGCAGAGAGCCTGGAATAATAAGCTTGCTGCTATAGTATTAGCTTCATGGAAAGGTGTAGGTCATGCTCTATCAAAACTCAGGGGTTCACCATCTAAATGTATATAGACTACATGTTGGGCTACATTTAAGTACTTCCCTTTTGTACACATTTCCTTATCATTACACTGAGAGCAGGTTTAACTGTGGCAACCACACCTTGATGAGGAATTTGGGTTTTATTTTATATTCATTAGGAAGCTCTTAGAAGAGTTTAAGCAGCTGACATGCCTCATTCTATTGGGATTGGTGATCTGCCATGGGCCCTGAGTGCCCCTAAGTCTTCCTGCTGGGTATGTCAGAAATGCAAAGCCTGAGTGCTCTTTACTTGGGACTATTTTTCAAGGTTGTTTCCGCAGTGAGCAACCCTGAGTGATGAGGTCATGCTCCTGTAGACAGACAATGGACATGGATCTGCTTACCACAAAAGTGCTGAGTCCCCCAAAGTCAGTGCTCCTCCCCTAAAATGCAGCCCACTGTATGTGCTGTCACTCACCTAGACCCACCTGCATCACTCTCGTGGGACATGGGAGGGCATGAGGGGCTGATATGAATATGAACTGTGGCTATTGCTTTTGGTCTGAGTAATAAAGTTGCCTTGTTACTGAACTTGAAGTATTGTGTGTTCTTCTATCATCAGCCAAACAGCAACTAGATAAACCTGACTAGTTTTTAAGATGGGTAAATCCCACACCAGCTTTTTTTCCCTTCAAAATCAGTCCTATCCTATTGGCAAAAATTAAAAAGTGATAATTTTCTATGCTGGTGGAGATGCAGAGATAAGAGTCCTTTGTTCTGTGCCACAGCTTTTTTGGTAAGCAATCTATATATATAAAACCCTAAGCGACCATTACCACCGAACGACCAGAATGACCAGAATGACTGGAACAACTGGTTGACCAGTCGCTATGATGCTCACTGACCACCAAGGGGCAGATGCTCAATGCAGGCTCCATTGGCCCCCATCTGGGGGGCCAGCTGGCCAACCTCCACGGCCCCTCCCACCCCCCAACCGACCAGCCCTCCTGACTGGCCAGCCAATCTGCCGTGGATTGCTGGCCAGGCCGAGGGACCCCACTCATGCACCGGGCCTCTAGTTTAACAATAATACACACTGGTGTATACTTATTGGCAAAAATTAAATTTTATACATCAAATATGTACAGATATTACACATCAAGCATACTTTAAAAACATGGTTTTCAAAAATATATATAATATCTAATATAAAATATATACAAGCATTTTAGTCTGAAATCTCAATTCTGGGAATCTGTTCTTTAACTATAAGGGTGCATAAGAGTACACCTACAAAGGGGTTCATTAAAGCACTCATCATAGTTAGTACTGAATACCCATCAAGAGGGTAATCCTTCAAGCTAGAAAGAAAAGAGTTATATCTCCATCTTTTGATCTGAAGATATTCTCATCATGTATTGGTAACTGTGGAAAGTAACTTCCAAGAAAATAAATGTATAGTGTGACCTCATTTTTGTGGAAGAAATGACATAAACCACATGAAACAACCCTATTAACGGAAAGGAGTGGAGAAGTAGAAATAGCATGTATTGACATTGGTTGTCTGTCTTGGAATGGGGGTGTGGATAGAAAAGCAAAGGGGGAAACTGAATACATTAGCTGCTCTCTAGCTTGAATGGGCACCACAAGTCTTATTACAGAAAATACTCTAACTCAGTGATTCCCAAAGTGGGCACTACCGCCCCCTGGTAGGCACTGTAGCGATCCAGGGGGGCGGTGATGGCCACAGGTGCATTTGGGGGCGATGAGTAACTGCTATTAAAATTTAAAAAAAATTAATTTCCAGGGGCTGAGTAATATTTTTTCTGGAAAGGGGGAGGTAGGCCAAATAAGTTTGGGAACCACTGCTCTAACTCATCCCTGAGCACTGGAGTGTCCCTCAAGAAAGGCCTTCTCTGGCCCACAATGACAATCCCTATGCCCATTCAACAAGCAGACCTGGTAGGCAAAGAGAAAGTGGGTACAGTCACCTAGGGGCACCAGGCGCTGCCAGCAAGAAAAGAGATTGGCATTCAGGACACCTTCAGAAAATGTTGTTCAATAGTAAAACAAGGGTGGAGGTTTATATGGGGGCGGGGAGGGGGAATGAGGGCCTAGAAAGAAAACTGGTGGATTCTCCCTGCCCCTCTCTCTCTTTCTGCACCCAGGCTCAGAGGAACAGTCAGCATTTCCCCCACCCTCTGGGCTAATCCCAGGTTCTGGTTTGTCTGGGGTGGGGCCCAATCCCCTGTAGTGGGCTGGCACACACAGTCCTGCTTTATTAAGCCCTGGACTTGTCCTGAGGCAGCAGGACGAAGCCTGGCCGCGGAATCTTTGGTACCAGTAACAGAACCTCTGCCACCCAGGCGAGCCCACCTGCTGCCATGGGCCGCTACCGCATCCACGTGGCCACCGGGGCCTGGCTCTTCTCTGGGTCCTTCAACCGCGTGCAGCTGTGGCTGGTCGGGGAGCACGGGGAGGCAGAGCTGGACTTGTGGCTGCAGCCAGTGCGGGGCCAGGTAGGCAGGGGAAGCAGGGACTCAGACCCCCTGGCTGGGCTGGCTGACTGAGGGAGGGCTGGACGCTGGAGGCTGGGTGCCAGTGACAGCACAACCCTGCCAGCTGTGACTTCCCGTGAGAAGGGACTCCTACACCTGGGTGGGTGAAAGGTTCAGAGCTAGGGTCCATCTGGGGTCAACTCCTTTCTCCCTCCCCTAGACCCTTGTCCACCCAACCTCCACTCCTTTCCTAAGTGGCCCCATGCAGGTGTCATTATGGGATCAATGGTCAAAGGGGAGGGTCCTCCTAGAGCTCGGTTGCCGGTGCAGGTGATGGTGCTTAGTGTTCAAGTCACTGTAGCCTCATCCCAACTCCCTGGTCCTCCTGGTGCGATGGGGAGTTTGAGATCCACAGCGCAGGTGTTGGGAGGAGGCAATGCTGTCCCTGGAGGCCTTGTCACCGGACTCCTCAGAGGACCCCGCACCCTCAGTTAAGCATCCTCTCCCGGGTCCCCGCTACTAAGTCTCACCGGGTTCTGTCCCCACAGGTGGAGGAGTTTGAGCAGGACGTTTCCCAGGACTTGGGGCCACTGCAGTTCGTGAAGTTGCGCAAACACCACTCCCTGGTGGACGATGCCTGGTTCTGCGACCGCATCACCGTGCAGGGCCCAGGAGCCTTCCAGGAGGCTGCCTTCCCCTGCTACCACTGGGTGCAGGGCGGGGGCGTGCTGACCCTGCCTGAGGGCACCGGTGAGGGGCCGCCTCAGGGAAGTGGGAGCAGGGCCCAGGGAGTAGTGCAGGAACGGGGAAGGGGCTACTGGAGAATGCGGGAGAGCACAGAGGAAGGTCTGAGGGATTTGAAAAAAGTGCGTGCTCAGCAGGTTAGAGGGCCCAAGTCAGAAAAGGAGGGAAAGTTATACATAGAATGAAAAAGGTCTGAAGTGGGACTGGACAGGGAAGTGAGTGATGTGTAGATCCCACCTCCCAAGAATGTGAGCACAGGGAATGGGAGGTGCAGCCACACTGGGAAACAGAAGAGACAAAGTAAAGTGGGAAGGAGATCTCCGTGTGACTGGGAACAAGTGAGGGCAGGGACAGGTAAGGTTAGCACATGGGACCCCTGAGAGGAGGCAGGGAAGAGAAGCAATAAATGATATGACCATGAAGAGCTGGTTTGGCTGTGATAACATGGAAGACAACTGTGAGGGCAGGGAGCACTCTGACTGGGATGGGGATGAGTGAGCAGGGGCTATAGGGGATTTGTTGCTATGGGACACGTAGAGGAGAGATATGACTAGAGAGAAAATTGAGAACAATGGCATGTAAGAATGGAGACTAATCAGCCATAAGAAAGATGAAATATTGTTGTTTGAGATAACATGGATGGATCTTGAGAGTATTAAATGAAATATCAAAGGAAAAGGACTAGAAATATGTGATTTGACTCCTATGTGGGATATAAAACAAAAAGCAGCAAGTGAACAAACAAAACAAATAAAAGTACAAACTCATAGATACAGACAACAGAATGGTGGTTACCAGAGGGAAGACAAAGAGGGTAAAGAGGGTCAAATATATGGTGACAGCAAACTCAGAGTATACAAATGTCATATTGTAAGATTGTACATCTGAATTTTATATGATGTTATTAATCAATGTTATATCCCAATAAATTTAATAAAAAATGGAAACATGAAATAGGTGTCTTTGAGGAACAATATAAGTACAGGTGAGAAGAGGACAAGTCAGGTTAACAAATATAAACTATGTGATGGTGAGGTTAGGTGAAATGGAGTGAGGGCAAAGTAGCAACAGGGAACTATTTGCTCCCTAAGACAGGTGAGATGGGATGGTTGAAGGTAACACATAGAATTTTTGTCTCAAGGATCAGGTAGGGGCAGGGACAAGGAAGAGCAGAGTGCATATGTATAATGAATATGAAATATGTCATTCGGAGGACAGGTGAAGGAGTAGAAAGGGGAAGGCCATTATAGATGAGATTAACAAAGGCAATCTACATATATAAAAGCCTAAGCAACTGTCTGACAGTTGGACCATCTGACCAGTAGCTTGATGCACAATGACCACCAGGGGGCAGATGCTCCAATTGGTAACTATGACATGCACTGACCACCAGGGGGCAGACACTCAAAACGGGAGCTGCCGAGGAGGGAGCCCGATTCCTGGGTGTGTCACGCAAGAACCACCCTCTTGCAATCTGGGACCCCTCGGGCGATGTCGGAGAGCCGGTTTTGGCCCAATCCTCACAGGCCAGGCTGAAGGGCCCCACTGGTGTACAAATCTGTGCACCGGGCCTCTAGTATATAATAATATGGACTATTGTGGATATGGCACGTGATTGAGGAAAAAATTCATAATCATCTATAGGCACAAGTAGTGGAATTTGATTTAAGGAACATGAAAGGGAAGAAAACATGGGATGTTGTTAAGGACAAACATGGGGTTGAAATAGGTGAAATCACGAATTGGGTGTGGGTAAAGATACAGTAAGTGATTTTGGGAATACATCAGGTGAGGTAGAGCCAGACAAAAAGGCAAGAGTCTGATGCAATACAGTCAAGAATGAGAGATTAGATCAAGTCAGGGATAGCATGAGTTGGACAAACAATGTGGTCAAATGTTCTCCCAGCCCGCCTGGCAGAAGAGAGTACCTTGGACGAGTTCCAGAAGCATCGAGAGAGAGAACTGAAGGAAAGACAGCTGATCTACTGGTAAGCACCTACCCACAGCCCTCCTGATATTCCACCTCTTCTCTGATCCTTCCACCATCACTGACTAAACGTCCTCTCCCGGGTCCCCGCTACTAAGTCTCACCGGGTTCTGTCCCCACAGGTGGAGGAGTTCGAACAGGACGTTCCCCAGGACTTGGGGCCACTGCAGTTCGTGAAGTTGCGCAAACACCACTCCCTGGTGGACGACGCCTGGTTCTGTGACCGCATCACCGTGCAGGGCCCAGGAGCCTTAGAGGAGGCTGCCTTCCCCTGCTACCGCTGGGTGCAGGGCGAGGGCGTGCTGACCCTGCCTGAGGGCACCGGTGAGGGGCCACCTCAGGGAAGTGGGAGTATGGCCCAGGGAGTAGTGCGGGAACGGGGAAGGGGCTACTGGAGAATGCGGGAGAGCACAGAGGAAGGTCTGAGGGATTTGAAAAAAGTGCGTGCTCAGCAGGTTAGAGGGCCCAAGTCAGAAAAGGAGGGAAAGTTATACATAGAATGAAAAAGGTCTGAAGTGGGACTGGACAGGGAAGTGAGTGATGTGTAGATCCCACCTCCCAAGAATGTGAGCACAGGGAATGGGAGGTGCAGCCATGCTGGGAAACAGAAGAGACAAAGTAAAGTGGGAAGGAGATCTCTGTCTGACTGGGAACAAGTGAGGGCAGGGACAGGTAAGGTTAGCACATGGGACCCCTGAGAGGAGGCAGGGAAGAGAAGCAATAAATGATATGACCATGAAGAGCTGGTTTGGCTGTGATAACATGGAAGACAACTGTGAGGGCAGGGAGCACTCTGACTGGGATGGGGATGAGTGAGCAGGGGCTATAGGGGATTTGTTGCTATGGGACACGTAGAGGAGAGATATGACTAGAGAGAAAATTGAGAACAATGGCATGTAAGAATGGAGACTAATCAGCCATAAGAAAGATGAAATATTGTTGTTTGAGATAACATGGATGGATCTTGAGAGTATTAAATGAAATATCAAAGGAAAAGGACTAGAAATATGTGATTTGACTCCTATGTGGGATATAAAACAAAAAGCAGCAAGTGAACAAACAAAACAAACAAAAATACAAACTCATAGATACAGACAACAGAATGGTGGTTACCAGAGGGAAGACAAAGAGGGTAAAGAGGGTCAAATATATGGTGACAGCAAACTCAGAGTATACAAATGTCATATTGTAAGATTGTACATCTGAATTTTATATGATGTTATTAATCAATGTTATATCCCAATAAATTTAATAAAAAATGGAAACATGAAATAGGTGTCTTTGAGGAACAATATAAGTACAGGTGAGAAGAGGACAAGTCAGGTTAACAAATATAAACTATGTGATGGTGAGGTTAGGTGAAATGGAGTGAGGGCAAAGTAGCAACAGGGAACTATTTGCTCCCTAAGACAGGTGAGATGGGATGGTTGAAGGTAACACATAGAATTTTTGTCTCAAGGATCAGGTAGGGGCAGGGACAAGGAAGAGCAGAGTGCATATGTATAATGAATATGAAATATGTCATTCGGAGGACAGGTGAAGGAGTAGAAAGGGGAAGGCCATTATAGATGAGATTAACAAAGGCAATCTACATATATAAAAGCCTAAGCAACTGTCTGACAGTTGGACCATCTGACCAGTAGCTTGATGCACAATGACCACCAGGGGGCAGATGCTCCAATTGGTAACTATGACATGCACTGACCACCAGGGGCAGACACTCAAAACGGGAGCTGCCGAGGAGGGAGCCCGATTCCTGGGTGTGTCACGCAAGAACCACCCTCTTGCAATCTGGGACCCCTCGGGCGATGTCGGAGAGCCGGTTTTGGCCCAATCCTCACAGGCCAGGCTGAAGGGCCCCACTGGTGTACAAATCTGTGCACCGGGCCTCTAGTATATAATAATATGGACTATTGTGGATATGGCACGTGATTGAGGAAAAAATTCATAATCATCTATAGGCACAAGTAGTGGAATTTGATTTAAGGAACATGAAAGGGAAGAAAACATGGGATGTTGTTAAGGACAAACATGGGGTTGAAATAGGTGAAATCACGAATTGGGTGTGGGTAAAGATACAGTAAGTGACTTTGGGAATACATCAGGTGAGGTAGAGCCAGACAAAAAGGCAAGAGTCTGATGCAATACAGTCAAGAATGAGAGATTAGATCAAGTCAGGGATAGCATGAGTTGGACAAACAATGTGGTCAAATGTTCTCCCAGCCCGCCTGGCAGAAGAGAGTACCTTGGACGAGTTCCAGAAGCATCGAGAGAGAGAACTGAAGGAAAGACAGCTGATCTACTGGTAAGCACCTACCCACAGCCCTCCTGATATTCCACCTCTTCTCTGATCCTTCCACCATCACTGACCCCTAATTCCTCCCTGAACTCTTTTCTCCATCTGCTAGTTGGAGCACCTGGAAGGAAGGATTACCCCTGACAATAGCTGCGGACTCTGAGAAGGATCTGCCCCCAGATATGAAATTTCATGGTGGAAAGAGGCTGAACTATGAATGGACAGAGAAGACAGGGTGAGAAAAGATCCCAGTGGAGTGGTGGATCCCATAACAGGCAGGGTTTGGTGAGTTGACAGTGCCAACCTTGATATCTGTCCTAGGTTACTGGAGATGATCCTCAAACGTGTTTACACCCTCCTGAACTCCTGGGACAGCCTAGAGGATTTTGATCAGATCTTCTGGGGCCCCAAGAGCACTCTTTGTGGTCAGTATTCCCATAGACCTTTGTAAATTCTTAATAGTGTGTTTTGTTGTCCCAAACTTCATACTCCATAGACCCTCATAAGTAGTTCCCAGATGAGAAGATAATATGCCTGGTCATTTCTCAGAGGCAACAAAAAGAAAAGACGGGCTGAATACAAAGTAATCATATGCCTGAATAGCTGTATTAAAACCTAAAGGAGAAGGACATCAGGTTGTGGTGAATATCCTCCCTTACCCTCCACTCCAAACCTACAGAGAAGGTTCACCAGCGCTGGCAGGATGATGAGCTTTTTGGCTACCAGTTCCTCAATGGCGCCAACCCCATGCTGTTGAGACGCTCCACCTCTCTGCCTTCCCGGCTGGTGCTGCCCTCGGGGATGGAGGAGCTTCGGGCCCAGCTGGAGAAAGAACTCCAGGTACACCCCTAGCCCTCTGTTGTCTTCTCCTTGTCTGTGGGGGAAGGGATGTGTTGAAGGGGAAGGACCAGAGATGAATCAGGGAAGGGAGACTGTATTAATCCACTGTCCCTATGTGCAGAGCCCTTTGCAGGAAAAACTTAGAGTTGATAAAGTATGTAAAGGAAATTATGAGACTGGTGGGTGCCAGACAGAGGTAGCAGAAAAATAGGATATGATGAGGAAAGAGACTTGGGCACCTTGACAAGGGGAAGCTTAGCATGCCTGTGGTGCAAATAAATTGGTCAGGTATGGTCTTAAAAACACCACTGCCACAGGGAATGAACATGTCCTTGGGGGAGATTCCTCTCATTTTGCCTCTTTCCTCACTGTCAACTGAGATGACTTGGACTAAATGTTCTGGATGCCTCCTTCCTTTCTGCCACTAGGACTCTGATATTGATGTAGGATAATTGCAGGAAATGAGACTGAATGTTATTACATTTCTTCCCCTTGGTGCTGGCCCTCTGGAGTAGACTTTGAACTTTTCCCCCCAGAACGGTTCCCTATTTGAAGCTGACTTTATCCTGCTGGATGGAATTCCAGCCAACGTGATCCAAGGAGAGCAGCAGTACCTGGCTGCCCCCCTCGTCATGCTGAAGATGGAACCCAGTGGGAAGCTGCTACCCATGGTCATCCAGGTGAGATATTTTGTAAATCCTCTTTCTAACACTGCTCTTCCTTCTCCCCAACTACTGCCCAGAGACAAAGACAGCCAGGTCTTGTCCCCGCTCCTCTGTCTCACTCTGAGATCTGTCGTTGTCTCCAGTGTTCCCTTTCTACTTTGCAGCTTACTCACTACTCACCTGAAATTGCCTTTTTTGAGAGTCAGAATGGTCTCTGTTGGTACTCACCCTAAGACTACTCAATCTCTTTCTGACCTTTGAATCTGTGGAATATTCTTTCTTTCTTGGACATATTTTCTCCTTTGTTTTTAATGCATTTTCCCTCTAACTGTTCTCATCAATCAATTGATGAGAATTGTCAGGTATCTCACACGTCCAGCTTCTCCTTCCTTTTCTACCATCCTAACTCACACTTTCATCAGGTTTCTCCCAAACCACTGTTATGGCCATACTGAACTCCCCCCTTTCTAATTCCTCCTGTTTGAACCTGACCATTATGGTACTCACACTTCCCCACAGCTAGTGAGAGGATGAGTGGAAGGGTCCTCCTTCCTCCTACTAGATTATAGCCCTCTGCATTACAATAATATTGGTCATCAGTTTCCCCCGGAATACTGAGCATGGTATGTAACATATGATGAGGTCAATGAATGCTTAGCTCCTCTTTATTGCAGATCCAGCCTCCCGCCAGTTACCCCCAACCCCACCAATATTCCTGCCCTCAGACCCTCCACTTGCCTGGCTCCTGGCAAAGACCTGGGTCCGAAGTTCAGATTTCCAATTGCACGAGTTACAGTATCACTTTCTGAACACTCATCTGCTGGCTGAGGTCATCGCTGTGGCCACCATGAGGTGCCTCCCAGGACTGCACCCTGTCTTCAAGGTACATACTCTGTCCCATATTGCTCACAAGGAAACATGTGAAACACTGCAACAGTTATCCAAGATTTTAAAAGCCTAAGCCATCTGGCTAGGAATATATAACAAACCTGCTTTGCAATAATCAAGCACTGATATGGTATCAGCAAAGAATCTTCATAGGCAGGAAGGGATAGAAGAGAGATAACTACAGCAACACCTTGAATCTTGTGGTTATATTTTCATGTTTAAATTTTTAAAATTTTATGCCAATTATAGATTCACATGCAGTTATAAGAAATAATACATGATCTATCCTATTAAATCAAGTCCTTTAGCAGTTTTATACACATATTGCAAGTCAATTCTCTGAAATTCTCCAGCAATGGGTCTGGAGGAGAGTAGGAATATAGTTTGTCAAACCCACATGTTGCCATTTAGCCAGGAAGACAAGTGGTAGACATAACAAACAGCCAAAGAACCATATCTGAGAATAGAGGTGGGAATCAAAAGAAACAGCTATAAACTCTATAGTATTGGTGGAGAATGTTCTACTGCAACCGAATGTTATGAGGAGCACAAAATAAAAGGGCAAGGATAGCAGCCCGACTGGTCACTGACATCTACCCAAGAGTGAGGAGACTAAAGATGTACATTAGTGTGGTAGTGACAGGGATGGGAGGGAGGAGACACTGCCTGTGTCATGCCTTGGAGAGAAAGGCCAGAGGTCTCAGCACTGCCAGACCTAGGAGCTCACCAAGTGAATACTGTTGGAATGACCAAGAAATACTTTGATGTTATAAACAGTGAGTTCAGTGTCTATTGCTAGGCAGAAGGCAGCAATATAAGACTTGTGCTTGTCTTACAATTGTTTTCCAAATCTCAATGGCACTTTGATACAGGGAACAGGGCAGAGCAGGGGGCAAAAATCTACAAGTCTATGAAGCAGATCAGTGGTCATAAAGAGTGTAATTAGGAAAAGAAGCCAGTTTGGAGGCAAAGATTAGGTGTTGAGCTTCAGATACAAAGAGTTTGAAGTGTTGGTAAGATATGCAAATGAGTATTTGGCAGGCAGAACAACTGAACTGTAATGTCACTGAGATTTCCAATGCCAACCCTCCTGTGGGCTGTGGTTGTTCGGGGTTCTAGGGTGAGATAGATAAAATAGTTACTAATGTAGTTCATGGGCTCTCAGGTTTGATAACCTCATCACCATCTCCCTCCTAGCTTGAATCACTTATTCCCACTTTTACACTTCAAAATACCCTTTTAATTCATAAGCTCCCCTTCACAGCCATATTCCCTCACCATAGCAACTCCATTCCATGGCAGACAGTCTTGTTGGAACTCCCAGGAGGGCTAAGCCTGCAGAAGTTACCAAGGTTACCTGTGCAGGCTCTGGATTAACTGCTTGGGTCTGAAGCCTGAATCCTGGTCTCAGTACTTACCAGATGTATGTTCAGGTTCCTCATCTCTGAAGGAGGATAACAATCTCCATTGTTGGGTTGTTAAGGCATTACAGGCTAAATGCTAGAAAAATGTCTGTTTTCTGCCGTTATTTTGGTTATCATCATCATTACTATCATTGCTGTTAGGAACTCTGTTTTGGGTTCTTTGCTCCTCACTGTGGTCTTAGTGTTTTCTGTGAAACCAGCATCTCTCCATGAACTTTCTGAAAAGAACAACATGAGCTCCTTTGATATCTTGGTATCAGGAGTATCACTTGTGTCCTTCCTTTATTCCAGCATCATAAAGCTCTGATCAATACTCAAACAGTCTAAATCCTGTATATCAACCAGGAGGAAATGAAATAAAATTCATCTAAGATAAAAAGAATATGTTAATTGTACTTTTCAATAGCTAAAAATAGAAGGAAAGAGTGGACAATTAGGAATGGGTACAGATTTGATGATAACCCATTTGCTGCTTAAGCAGGGAGCTTGATATCATTTCTAAAATTCTGACTGAAGATACTCTTTTCCCAAAAGAATCCAAGAGTAAAACAATGAGCAGTTGGAGGGAGAGCTTTGAAATTGAGCAGAGAGGCTAGTTTAAGGAATGAGAAGATGTGAATGAAAGAGGAAGCATGAAATGATATTGAAAGCTAAGGGGTAGCTTCTAAACCAGTGGCACTCAACCTTGGCTGCACATTAGAATCACCTGGGAATCTTTTTAAAATCCTGATTTCTGGGCCTCATGAATGAATGCAGCCAAGGTTGAGAACCACTGTTCTAAACGGACAACTACATTCAAGGTGGATACAATAAAGGTAATGATAATACCTCCTAATCAATGCTTCTGTGTGCCAGGCACTGAGCTAAACACTCTTTATATATTCCTCATATAATTACCACCACAGCACCTGACTTAGAAGACCTATTATCATTCTTGTTGACAGATGAGGAAATTGACAGATGAGGTACTTGAACAAGTACCAAAGTGAGTAGTTAAGTCTGGACTCAAGCCCAGGTCATTCTAGCTCCACAACCCCACTCACAATACAGTTATGGAGAGCATGAGAGTTAGTGATCATAGCAGCAGAAGGAAACCAGCCTACAAAAGCACTGGCAGGGAGGAAAGTATCAAGAGGAGAAAATGTCCCCAGACTGAGTGCCACTCCCTACAAGGGAGGACCCAAACATGGACTCCAATAACTACCCTTCTCTAATCTTCTTCATTCAGCTCCTGATCCCACACACCCGCTACACCATGGAGGTTAACACCCGAGCACGGACACAACTCAACTCAGATAGTGGAATATTTAATCAGGTAAAGAGGAAATGGGGGCATGGGGCTGCCTAATCTTTCATCTCTCTACAACCTCCTGCCATCTTTACAGTCTCAGACCACCTAGTATGAATGTCCTGATCCTTAAACCCATGAGCCTGTTCATTTTATACTTTAAATTTTGTAAACCCCGCTGTGAACCCCTTATATACTGTGTCAAGATTTTCAGCTCTTCTTTTATCACTCAAGACCTGTCAACTCTCAAATTCCAGGCAGTGAGCACAGGTGGAGGGCCCCATGTGCAGTTTTTTCATCGGGCCATGGCTAAGCTGACCTACCGCTCCCTCTGTCCTCCTGAAGATCTGGCTGACCGGGGCCTGCTGGGAATCCCAAGTGCTCTCTATGCCCATGATGCTTTAAGGCTCTGGGAGATCATTGCCCGGTGGGTAAGAGTGGGAGCTGAGAAATGGAAGGCCATTGGGAAGAAGGAGAGTGGGTCTCTGGCTTGAGGTCAACACTGGGCAAAAAGGAACATGAAAGAAGAAGGTCCAGACAGAGGGAGCAGAGGAGACAGTGGATAGAATCTGAAAGGTAGAATAAAGGAAGAGCCTAGCTTGGGGAATCTGGGAATGGGGAGATGGGGATCTGGAAGAACTTGGGTTTTGTTAGAAAGAATGGTTATTAATCATGTATAGGAACGCTTAAAACTAAGGTCTCACATTTCCTTTCTAAACTAGTGTGTAGAAAGAGGTTGGGGATGTCCCAAAAGGAAAGTCTTGTAAGATGTGCCCCCAGATACAATGAAAGTCGGTTGGACAGAAGCCACAGAAAAGGAGTAGAGGTCAGAGGCTACAGCCTTGTACTCTCAAGGAGCTCAGCTCCCTTCTCCTCTGGGCAGGTACGTGGAAGGGATCATCCACCTCTTCTACCACGGGGATGACGCAGAGCCCCTTGTCAGCCTTGCAGACACTCTGCCCAGAGCCCCTTGTCAGCCTTGCAGACACTCTGCCCAGAGCCCCTTGTCAGCCTTGCAGACACTCTGCCCAGAGCCCCTTGTCAGCCTTGCAGACACTCTGCCCAGAGCCCCTTGTCAGCCTTGCAGACACTCTGCCCAGAGCCCCTTGTCAGCCTTGCCCTTCCGGGGACATGATCCCAATCTCTCATCACCCTCTCGCCCTCCACACATGAAGCATATGAATACCATTCCCACCTCCTAAGTATTAGGACAGTCCTACAGACCCAAGGATTGTCCTCCCCAGAGACCCTGATCATCAGCCTTTATGCCCACCTCCCATTCCTGCCACAGATGCCCTGAATCTTCCACAGCATAGAGCCCAGTGGGTCCAGAACCATGACCAGCAGGGGATCTGCCCAGGCCCTGCTTGTGCCCTCTGAAGCTCTTCCTAAGATTATACGTGGGGGAAATTTTCCCACCAAAATCCATGAGGACTCTCTCTGGATTTCCCTCCCTTCTCCTCTTGCCTGCTACTGTCCACCACACACAGAGGGTCCAGACACATGCAACACTACCACAGTGGAAGGTCATTTCTAGGTGCAAATTAAATATCTGCTTTCTCTGCCCAGTTCATTCCTTCACTAGGATCTACCTTTAGTTCTCTCATTTCACATTTTAATCTATGATGAAGAAATAGCTTTTATTGAGCTTTGCCTAGTTTCATCATCCTCTCTCTTGCACATATGGGTCAGCCAGGTCTGTTTTAAATTGTCCTTCAGGCCCTGTGCCCACATACTTCACACCAACACCTTGATTCCCATCCTCAGCCTGTGGGACAAGTATGAACATTTACTGGGAAGCTATTATGGCTGGAACATGGAAATACAAGGTTTAATATACCAATGCCAGACCCTTGGAGGATCTGGGCAACACCCCCACCGCCCTGACCCTTTCAGGACCAAATGTTCTCTCATACTTTTCAGTTCTGTTCTTCAAGCATCCCAAGCCCCAAAAGATGCTTCTTCCTCTCCCTGGCCATCCTCTTCCCATGACATATCTACCTTAAGCGTTTACAAAATACAGTCATTTACACTTTAATCTCTGATTCCTCCATTTCACTCAACTTTCAATGTTCTCTCTGCCCTATTATTCCCACGTTAGTCTCATTAAAGGCCACACACTAATATTTGTTTCTAAAGTACTGGTTTCTGCCTCTTTCCATCTATGTGACCTTGACCCATCCACTAGATCTCTTTCACTTTGACTTTTAGTTTCCTTAAAGCTAAAATGGACAAAATATTTGCCATCCATACTCACTTCATACCTGATAGAATTTTTGAGACCCAATGATATAATGTGTGACAGTACTGAAACCTACATAGTATATAGTGTTAGCTGAGTTTAATCATATGCTCTACCCCACACAAAAATACCTCCCCAATTTGATCAGCATGTGAAATAGGAGAGTCCAGATTCTGCCATGCGGTAGATGACCTTAGTCGGGCATCAAACTCTATGACCCCATCTCACTGCATTCATCATGTTTATTTATTCTGCAGTTTTGATACTTTGACATCTTGGAGTCTTGTTGACCCAGAAGGTACTACTCCTCCCAGTGCCAGCTGATTCTCAGATATAGCAAACCACTCCCCCGTGAGCATGCTTTTCATATGCCGGAAGTCCCAACCACCACCTGTATTGAGCTCTTACACTCTGGGCCGCTATTCCCCTGGCCTAATCACCTCGGGCCAGGTACCAGACTAGGGACAGCTACCACACTCCAGAGCCCACTGGAATTATAGCAACTAGCCTGTCCTAAACCTGCTTATTCTGCCTCGCTTGTTCCTTCTCATGGAAACCGTGACAAAGGCTCCTGCTACCCTTTCCCCTCACCCCTCTGCCTCTTGACCAACCCTGGTGCTCCCAGTGTGGTCCCCTGTGGTGTGGCAGGTACCCATCTCTTGGGATCTGTGAGTATAATACATTTCTTTTCCATGGCAGTTATCTCCTGACCTGTTGGCCTCAATGCAACTAAATAATAATAGAAACTATATTTTAAAACACTTGCCTGTATATTGCCTGGAATGGATAGCTGATTTTGACACATCTCCCGGTATTTTAACTGAATGAATTACTTCTCTTTCTCTGCATCATTTCCCAGCTATCTATAAGCACTGAACCACTTTTGGGGAGACAGCAATTGTTGAAATACAACAAACCTAGAGAAAGGTCCATACTCATAGGTGTATAACTTAGTGATGTGTTACTACAGTGACACACCTGTATAATTAGCATGAAGATTAAGAATCAGAACTTTTCCAGCTCCCTCAGAAAGCCCCTTGTATACACTCTTCCAATCTATCCACATGAAGATAAATATTATCTTGACTTGTAGGTTGGTTAGTTTTACTTGTTTTGACCGTTCACAGATGGAAATACAAGCACGCACTTGCTTGTGTCTGGCTTCATTCGCTGAATACTATGTTTGATATTTACCTACTTTGTTGCATGTAGCATATAGTTTGTTCATCATCATTGTGGGCACCTCCCTTTTGTGACTATGGCACCATTTATTTTTCCTTTTTGCTACTGATGGATATTAGTATTGTTTCCAGCTTGGGCGATCAATATTAATGCTATTGTGAACATTTCTGTGTGTGTTTTCCTGTGGACTTGATGGACTTAAATTATGCAAAAATCAGCTTCAGTAGTTATTGACCCTTTTCCCAAAGTGGTTGTACTGGTTTTCACTCCATTCAGCAGAGTTTCAGTTATCGTTGCTCCATATAGTCTCAAATACATGAAAAAGATATTTCTATCTTTTTTACTTTAGTCATTTTGGTGTGTATGTAGATCTGTCATATTGTGAGTTTAAGTTGCCTTTTCCTGAAGACTAGTTGCTCTGAATACTTTTTCCTTGGTTTAATAGTCATCCAGAATATCCTCCTTTATGAGGTGCCTGTTAAAATCTTTACCCTTATACCTCTAGGGTTGTAACCTTTATCTTGTGAGTTTTTAAAATTGAAGTATAATTGATATATATTATTAATTTCAGATGTACAAAATAATGATTCAATATTTGTATGTATTGTGAAATGATCACCACAGTAAGTTTAGTTAATATCCATCACCACACATAGTTACACAATGTTTTCCTTTGATGAGAACTTTTATGATCTACCCTTTTAGAAAATTTCAAATATACAATACAGTATTAGTAACTATAGCCACCATGTTGTACATTACATAATAGCCATGCTGTACATTACATCCCATGACTTAGCCTATATAATAAAACCCTAATATGCAAATTGGCCAAATGGTGGAATGATCGGTCACTATGACACACACTGACCACCAGGGGGCAGATGCTCAATGCAGGAGCTGCCCCCTGTGGTCAGTGCACTCCCACAGGGGGAGCGCCACTCAGCCAGAAGCCAGGCTCACCAGTGGGGTCATGGCTGGCTAGCGCAATGGCAGTGGCAGGAGCCTCTCCCACCTCTGCAGCAGCGCTAAGGACCCCTCAGGGGATGTCCGACTGCCAGCTTAGGCCTGCTCCCTGCAGGCAGTCAAACATCCCCCAAGGGGTTCCCGGACTGCGAGAGGGCTGAGGCCGGGTTGAGGGACCCCCTCCCCTCCAGTGCACAAATGTTGTGCACTGGGCCTCTAGTTTATTTTATAACTGGAAGTTTGTAACTTTTGACCACATTCACCCATTTCACCCACTCTTACCTCCACCTCTGGAACTACCAATCTGTTCTCTATATCTATGATCTCAGGGTCTTTTTCCTTTTTTTTTTTTTAATTCCACATATAAGTGGGACCATATAATATTTAACTCTCTCAGGCTATTTATTTTACTTAGCATCATGCCATCCCATGGTCCATCCCTGTTGTCACAAATGGCAAGAATTCCTTCTTTTTTAAGGCTGAATAATATTTGAATATATATAACTTTGTTTATCTATTCATCCGCTGATGAACACTTAGGTTGCTTCCATGTCTTTTTTAAAAAAGATTTTTATTGATTTTTAGAGAGAGAGTAAGCGAGAGAGAGAAACTTTGATGTTAGTTAGGAACAAGTCTATTGAACAGTTGCCTCTTGTACACCCCCTACCGGGTATTGAGCCCACAATCCATAATCTGGGCATGTGCCCTGTCAGGGAATTGAACTCGCAACCTTTCATTGCACAGGATGATGCCCAACCAACTGAGTCACACGGGCCAGGGCAGTTGCTTCCATGACTTGGCTATGGTAAATAATGCTGCAATGAACATGGGGTCCAGCTATATTTTCAAGTCAATGCTTCATTTCCTTTGGATAAATACCCAGAAATGGATTTGCTGGATCATATGGTAATTCTACTTTTAATATTTTGAAGAATCTTCGTACTGGTTTCCATAGTGGCTTCACCACTTTCCACTAACAGTACACAAGGCTTCTATTCTCCACAGCCTCACCAATACTTGGTATTCCTTGTCTTTTGATAATAGCCATTCTAACAGGTGTGAGGTAGCATCTCATTATGATTTTGATTTACATTTCCCTGTTAAAAGTGATGTTGAGCACTTTTTCATGTACCTGTTGGCCATCTGTGTGTCTTTGGGAAAATGTTTATTCAGAGCTTCTGTCCACCCTTTAATAGGAATCTGATTTATTTTGCTATTGAGTTGTATGAGTTCTTTATATATTTTGGATATTAACACCTTATTAGATATGTGATTTGCAAATATTTTCTCCCATTCAGTATGCTGCCTTTTAATTTTGTTGGTGGTTTCCTTTGCTGTGCAGAAGATCTTTAGCCTGATGTAGTTCCCTTTGTTTATTTTTGCTTTTGTTGCCTTGGCTTTTGCAAATCCAAAATATCATCACTAAGACTGATGTCAAGGAGCTTACACCTATGTTTTCTTCTAGGAGAATTATGGTTTCAGTACTTTAATCCATTTGTCCTTAATTTGTGTGTGTGGTATAAGATAGCAGTCCAGTTTCACTCTTTTGCATGTGGCTGCCAGTTTTCCCAGCAACATTTATTGAAGAGACTGTCCTTTCCCCATTGTATATTCTTGCCTCCTTTTTTGACTCTTTGTTCAGTTCCATTGATCTGTGTCTGCTATATGCCAATACCATACTGTTTTGACTATTTTTTCTTTGTTATATAATTTGAAATCAGAAAGCAGAATAAGGATGCCTTGAACTCTGTTCTTTCCAAGATTTCTGTGGCTATTTGGGGTCCTTACTGATTCCAACTTAAAATTATAAAA